CAATCACAGGGTGGGCTGCCCTTAAAAGACCACATAATGTATATGCTAATACGTAACACAAGTTAGATGAATGAGATGCAGCACATGAACATGAATACAAATGTTCCATGTAATTGCAATATGCAGGAATATATTAGCCTCTTCTCAGGGCATCAACCCCATTTTCCCCCACATCAGTTTGCATGAGGATGTTATTGCTGTGACAACGAGGCACAGCTGGCTGCTGCTCGAGCTCTAGAGCTCATTGACTCCAAATATTATGTCATTATATTGATATAAATGCCTGTAATTTTTATCGTAGGTACACCTCAGCTATGAGAGACTGAATGAAAAAAAATAATACAGAATTTGCAAATTATGGTGGAAAATAAGTATTTGGTCACCTATAAACAAGCAAGATCTCTGGCTCTCACAGACCTGTAACTCCTTCTTTAAGAGGCTCCTCTGTCCTCCACTGTTGTACTCTGCATGTTCCAACGGAATACAGTAGAAGTGGCTGATCTCAAGAAGTCCAACCAATGGCCAGAAAGGGCCAGCCTACAGGACAGCACAGCGGCACTCATCATGGCTGCACAGGAGCAGGTCCTGAGCACCTGAGCAGGACCTGAAACACTACAAAACATAACTGCAGGGTGCAAGATGCTGGCAGGGAAGGCCTACATGGAACGCCATAACCAAGTGGCTGGCATAGTGTACAGAAACATCTGTGCAGAGTATGGGCTTGGAACCCCAAGGTCGAAATGGGAAACTCCTCTCATTTCCTCCAAAGGTGGTGGAGAATGAGCGTGTGAAGATCCTGTGGGACTTCCAGATACAGACTGTGAAGGTTCGTTTAAAAATGATGGGAATAATGATGGCTCAGTCGGAAAAATGAATTGTGGTGACTTTATTTTCACACCAAACCAGTGCAGAGTGGAAAATATTTACAGTGCAGAAAAAAAAAAACAACAGACTCACAAAAACAGACAGGACTTACAGCCAGCTCAGTTTGGGTTCAATTTCAGTACAGCTCACTCCAGCTCACTCACAGACTGACAGAAAAACCTCCGGAGTGAGCACGCACTCTTTTAACTAGTTAGCCCTGCCCCTGGGCTAACCCATTAATAAATTAACAGGGGTTTTTCTTCTAAACAGAAAAACAACGAAATCCCACACATAGTTCCCTCCCTGTTCCTCAGTGTGAACATGCCTCTCCATTGCCCCATATAGCAATGCACAAATAGAAAAAAAACACATTTTAATACTTTAAGAAATTAGAGTCCTCTGGCCCGACACATGCGCGCGCCCTGCGCTATATATGGTGCGACCAGGAAGTGCCTCGGTTTGGCCAGTGGACCGAGACAAGCAGCAGGTGAGTTGTGTATGGGAGATGAGATGTGTGTAGTGTAGGCAGCAAGTGTGCACCCTTGTGCGCTACAGGGATAGTATTGGCAAGGGAAGAGTTTGTGTTGATGCAGGGCCGTGCGGTTACTAGCGTGGACCTGCCGGCATGCCGCGCCACACGCACGCAGACGCGCTCCTCTCTTCAGCGCAGGGAGAGAGAGCACCACACAGTTTATGACGGAGCAGTCAATGGCGCTCCGTCACATTATCCCCCTCCTCCTCGAGGTTGACGATGTGCGGCAACCTGGACAGGTAGTCTGCCACGACATTGGTCTTCCCAGCTCGATGGCGGATCTGGAACTGGAACGGCGGGAGGGAGAGGTACCAGCGGGTGAGACGACTGTTATGGTCCTTCATGGAATTCATCCAAGTCAGCGCCCGGTGGTCCGTCTCGAGGTCGAACTCTCTTCCCAGCAGTTAGTACCGCAGGCTCTCCAGAGCCCACTTGATGGCCAGGCCCTCTTTCTCCACGGTAGAGTACCTGGTCTCTCGCGGCAGCAGCTTCCGGCTCAGGTACCGTACAGGACGTTCTTCTCCAGGGTCCCCTTGAGCCAGGACCGCTCCTAGTCCCACGGCAGAAGCGTCAGTCTGGACCAGGAACCGCTGTTCGAAGTCGGGGCTCCGCAGCACCGGCGATGAGCAGAGGCAGGACTTGAGGGCCTGGAAGGCTGTCTCGCAGTCCTCGTTCCAGACGACCGGGTTCCTCTGGTCCTTCATCGTCAGCGCGGTCAGTGGAGCTGCGATGGTGGCGAACTGTGGGACGAACCGACAATACCAGCCGGCCAAGCCCAAGAAGGACCTCACCTCCTTCTTTGTGCGAGGGCGTGGACAGCTGCGGATGGCCTCTACTTTGTCCATCTGTGGTCGGACTTCTCGCCCCAGCCGGTAGCCGAGATACTTAGCCTCTTCTTTGGCCCACTGACACTTTGACGGGTTAAGTGTCAGTCCCGCCCGCTCTATCTGGCCGAGGACTCTCTCCAGATGACGCAGGTGCTGTTCCCAGGTGTCGCTGAAGATGACCACGTCGTCCAGGTACGCAGCACTGCAGTCCTCACAGCCCCTGAGCACACGGTCCATCAGTCTCTGGAATGTGGCGGGTGCTCCATGGAGACCGAATGGCATCATGGTGAACTGGAAGAGGCCAGCAGGGGTCTGGAACGCCGTGTAGGGACGACTGCACGCTTCTAGTGGCACCTGCCAGTAACCTTTGCAGAGGTCGAGGGTCGTGATGAACCGGGCCCGGCCAATCTTTTCCAGGAGGTCGTCTATCCGGGGCATCGGGTAGGCGTCGAACTCTGACATGGCGTTGAGCTTCCGGAAGTCGATGCAGATGCGGAGCGACCCGTCTTTCTTCACGACGATGACCACCGGACTACACCACTCTGCCTGGGATGGCTCGATCACACCAAGGCGCTGCATATCTTCCACCTCCGTCAACAGCTGGGCGACAAGATGTTGGGGAACCCGATAAGACCTCTGGCGAACTGGGCCTTTGTCTTTCAGCCGGATGACGTGCTCGACGAGGGTAGTCCTTCCTGGACTGGCAGCGAAGAGCTTGGAGACCCCCTGGAAAACCTGACACAGCTGGGTCGACTGGGTGGCGGTGAGATGACCCAGAGCTGGTTCAGCAGGCCGCTGGAGGTCGGAAAGCGTAGACTCTTCCTCCCCGTCACTGTCTACCTCTGTCACCAGCAGGGACGCCATGGAAACTGGAACCGCCGCCTCTTTCCACTCCTTCAGATTGACGTGGTAGGTCTGCTTCGCTTTCCTCTTCTCTGGGTGGTGGATCTCGTAGGTCACAGGGCCCATCTTCCTGACCACAGAGTATGGCCCCTGCCACTTCGCCAGAAGCTTGTGGTTGGACGATGGCAGGAGTAGCAGGACCTTCTGACCGGGCTGGAACTCGCGATGTCGGGCCTGTTGGTCGTACCACGCCTTCTGGGACCACTGGGCAGCGCGTAGGTTGACCTCCGCCTCCTCCCGATACTTGGCCAGCCGATCACGCATCTCCAACACAAACTGGACAATATGGCGATCGCTGGTGGTCGAGGCGGGAGCCTCCCAGGCCTTCAGTAGCAGGTCTAGCGGACCCTGGACATCCCATCCATAGAGCAGCTCGAACGGGGAGAAACCGGTGGAGGCTTGGGGTGCCTCTCGGTAGGCGAAGAGTAGGTAGGGTAGCCACTGGTCCCAGTCCCGTCCGGTATCGGCCACGAATTTCTGCAGCATCCTCTTCAGCGTCTGGTTGAACCTCTCGACCAAACCGTCCGTCTGTGGGTGGTACGGGGTGGTCTTGATCGCAGAGATTCCCAGCTGGCGGTGGAAGAGCTGCATCAGGCGGGAGGTGAAGTTGGTCCCCTGGTCCGTCACAATCTCGTCCGGGACCCCAACCCTGGAAAACAACTGAACAAGACACCGCAGCACAGCAGGGGCAGTAACGGTGCGCAAGGGGAACGCCTCGGGGAACCGTGTGGCATAATCGCAGAGGACCAGGATGTACTGGTGGCCTCCACTGCTCCGAACTAAGGGCCCTACAATGTCCATTGCTATGCGGCGAAATGGGGTGGAAATGACAGGCATAGGTTGGAGGTACGCACGGTCAGATTGGCGAACAAAACTAGTTTTCTGGCAGACAGGACAGAATTTACAGTAGTTTTGGACATCTGTATACATAGACGGCCAATAAAACCTCGAGGCTATGCGTAAATGGGTTTTGTTGCGGCCCAGATGACCAGCCCAAGGCAAGGTGTGTGCCAGGTGCATAATCATTGGCCGGCAGGACACAGGAACCACGAGGCGCTTGATACCGTCTGCCACTGCATACAAAATAGCACTGTCAACAATAAAACAATCCTTGTCCCCCTTTGCCATATCTAGTCCCCCAATCACTTTCGCAAACAGTGATTTTAATGTTGCGTCTGCTCTTTACACTGCCCCAATGTCCGCCGGAACTTCCCACAAAAAGTCCTGACAGTTTGGCTCTGCCCGCTTTAGCCCTTTCTCGAAGCGCCGCTGCTTGCGACACTTTCTTGGCCCCTTTGTTCCCCCTTCAAATAAACTAGAGTCCAATGTGGAAAATGGCTCAAGTTCAGGCTCTGGTACTCTCTGAACTGGCTTACCCCCCGCTTTAGCCTGTGAACGAGTAGTTACCAGTCCAGAAAACCCCCTTCCACAGTCACTGTCCTTGGGTCCCTCTTCCCGCAGTATGTCCAACAGCACAGGTATATCCCAACCCCAAATAGCTGCTACAGGTAACCCGTCTACCACCCCCACAGTCAATAAATAGGGCTGCTCATTGACCACTAAAGTGAGTTCTGCTGTTGGGTAAGAATGTCTGTCACCGTGTACACAGAAAATGTCCTCCTTTCTGCTATAATCCACCTGGCCCGTTGGCACTAAATCCCTCCGAACCAGTGTCATATAGCTCCCAGAGTCAATCAGGGCAGTCACAGGATCTCCATTAATAGAGACTTCTTTGAAGCGCTGACGCCTGCCTACAGCACTTAAGTCCTCTGCACGGGGTGTGTAACATGCGCCAGTCAATTTAGTTTTTCTTATTGGGCATACAGAGGCTTTGTGCCCCAACTGCTGGCAATAAAAACACACAAAGTCCTTACCGGGACCGCGCTGGCTGGCTGCATGGTTGGAGTCTGCAGACTGCTGTGTGTGGACTCTGGCAGAGCTGGTCTGTGCTGGAGTCTGACGTCCGGGACCACCTTGGTAAGGCGCCGGGCCTCCTCTCCGAGCGTTGAGGTACTGCTGCGCTAGTTTAGCCGCCGCTAGGCCCTCTGTCGGCTCGTGCTCCTTCACCCAGGTGCGGATATCTGCAGGGAAAACACGCAGAAGCTGCTCCAGGATGATCTGCTCTCCGATCTGCTCCTTTGTGTGCTGCTCCGGGCGGATCCATCGGCGGTAGAGCCCCTTGAGGCGGTGGTACGTCTCCGCAGGGTTCTCTCCAGCAGGAATTGTCACCGTCCGGAACTTCTGTCTGTAGGTCTCTGGGGATATGTCAAATTTTGTGAGCAAAGCGTCCTTAAGATCCGAATATGTGTGAGCCCGCTCCTCGTCCATAGCAGTGTACGCTTCGAGTGCCTTCCCAGAGAGTAGTGGCACCAAACGACACGCCCACTCACACTCTGGCCAACCCCAGGTTTTGGCAATCCTCTCGAACCGGAGGAGGTAATTTTCAATGTCCTCCCCGGCCAGGTACTGGGGAATCTTTGGGTCCCCGGCGGGTCGACTTTCCGGTCGGGACAGCACCCTCTCGGATCCCAAACTGGGCCTCTGCGGTTCGGCGGAACTGCGGCGTCTGCGAGGTGCTGGAGTAGGCAGATCCAGTCTCATACTCGTTTCTGTGCCCTCTGATGGTGACCTGGTACAGTCTGGTACTGGAAACGAGTCCTTCAGTCCCCTGAGCTCCGCCAGGAACCGGTCTTCGCGCCGCTCCTGTCCCTCCATGAAAGACCGCATCATGGCGAGCATCTCCTGTGCGCTGGCTTCTCCGGTATTGGTTGTTTAAGGGGATGAGCAATAGCGCCCCCTGCGTCCTCCTCGTCTGTGACCCAGGCTGGGTCATCCTGCACTGTTTCCAGCTTCCCTGAGCGCCGTCCTGTGCGCTTAGCAAAAGTCTTCATACGCCGACTAGCCATCCCACTTCTGACACCAAATGTGAGGGTTCGTTTAAAAATGATGGGAATAATGATGGCTCAGTCGGAAAAATGAATTGTGGTGACTTTATTTTCACACCAAACCAGTGCAGAGTGGAAAATATTTACAGTGCAGAAAAAAAAAAACAACAGACTCACAAAAACAGACAGGACTTACAGCCAGCTCAGTTTGGGTTCAATTTCAGTACAGCTCACTCCAGCTCACTCACAGACTGACAGAAAAACCTCCGGAGTGAGCACGCACTCTTTTAACTAGTTAGCCCCGCCCCTGGGCTAACCCATTAATAAATTAACAGGGGTTTTTCTTCTAAACAGAAAAACAACGAAATCCCACACATAGTTCCCTCCCTGTTCCTTAGTGTGAACATGCCTCTCCATTGCCCCATATAGCAATGCACAAATAGAAAAAAAACACATTTTAATACTTTAAGAAATTAGAGTCCTCTGGCCCGTCACATGCGCGCGCCCTGCGCTATATATGGTGCGACCAGGAAGTGCCTCGGTTTGGCCAGTGGACCGAGACAAGCAGCAGGTGAGTTGTGTATGGGAGATGAGATGTGTGTAGTGTAGGCAGCAAGTGTGCACCCTTGTGCGCTACAGGGATAGTATTGGCAGGGGAAGAGTTTGTGTTGATGCAGGGCCGTGCGGTTACTAGCGCGGACCTGCCGGCATGCCGCGCCACACGCACGCAGACGCGCTCCTCTCTTCAGCGCAGGGAGAGAGAGCACCACACAGTTTATGACGGAGCAGTCAATGGCGCTCCGTCACACAGACCAACCGAAGGGTAATGGCGAACCAACCTGACATTGTGGTGGTAGACAAAAGGCAGAGGAAAGCCGTGGTGGTGGACGTGGCAATTCCAAGCGATGGTAACATCAGGAAAAAAACACGAAAAGCTTAAAAAATACCAAGGGCTCAGATAGGAGCCAGAGAGGGCCTGGAAGGTAAAGGTGACAGTAGTGGAAATCTCGGCTCAGAAATGTGCAGTGTTAGGAACAGCAAAGATACTGCGCAGAACCCTCAAGTTCCCAGGCCTCTGGTAGAGGACCCGAGCTTAGAGAGGGATAACCGCCCGCGAGGGCGAACGGTGTATGTATATACAGTATATACACACACGCCTGTTTTGTTTGTTATTTCAATCCAATGTAAAAGGTAATTGACACAGTTCACTGTTCCAGTGATTAACAGAGACAGTATCTACAATGTAATGTTGAATTTTGAAAGAATGACAACAACATTTATTATAACTAAGGCATGGAAATACCCCTTTCTCAATTCGCAACTCTTTATTTCCAGTTTTACTACTTTGGCCTTAAACTGGACTTTAAAGTGCAAGTTTCTGAATGTAACTGATAAAAGCGACAGGCTGGAAATGAGTAATACAATAAAAACAATCACATAAACAGTACAGTGAATTTCTGAAGAACAAAGCCCAATCACCTTTTTCTTAAAGACATTTTTTCTGTTCTTAAGAGAGCTCATGTGCGGGAAAGACAACTTCTCTGTAACATTCGCCCCACAATGGATAAATTTCAGTTTGATGCATACACATCAAGGAAAGCAGCGAACATCACTTCCACGTCCCTTATAGGCACAGTAGGTTAAGTGTCTTGCCCAAGGACACAACGACAGAAGAAATCAGTGGAAGTCGGTGGAGAAGGTCTCATGGTGGGCTCGAACCCACGACCTTTGGGCTCTACGGCCAATGCTCTACCAACTGAGCCACTGTCGCCCTAGCCTGGTCGTAACACACCACAGTACAAATGACATTTCGTACTAAGGTCTGGAGGTGCTCCATTAAGCTCCGTTTACCGGTGGGACGGGTTAACTCCTTTTGCAGATTGAAACGATTGGATCTGAGTTTACCGTGACGTATATAGTGCCCCGAGTGAGTCGTTAGCATTTAGCATTTAGCCTGGCTATCTCCTTTGCCGCTAACGGAATTTCTTGATAGAACCAGACCGGATTACTTTACTGCACAACTAACTACAACACCTGCCTTCTGCGCTCGCTGGTAGGTCGGTCGAAATTCAACCGATTGTAATCGCTAACCCAGGGACCATACCCAGACGTTACATGCAGTGAAATGATGATTGAGTGGAGTGTACGGATGGCTAAGGCCAGGCTACTGTCGCCCCAGTGGATCAGGATTAACATCAGGATTAATAATATCTGTAATTCAAACATATGATGTAACCAGAGGTCAACCAATCAAGCAAAACATCCACTAAGGTGAATATCCCTATGGGTAATATTCCTGAGGGGAATATTCCTAACCTATTAATAATGATGACCACTGTGTGATTGGCATATGCTGAAGCAAGCTTTATTAAACCACAAAAAATGATTTGAATATAATTTTAAGAAAATATGTCATATAATTGAATTACAGAGTATTACATAAACTTAAATGAGATAAAATAAAGTATGAGGCTAATTTTAAAAACTCTGAATTGGCTTTGGATTACAGCGTTCTCAGAAGAACATTCTGTGGTGTTAGAGGAAAAGAGAAGTTTGAACAAGACGTGGGACGGAGAGGTGCTCCTCTTAACCTCCGGTGAGCAGCATACACTCATTAACTTCCCAATCAATGGTAATGCAGAGATCTCTGCACCACAGTTTACACTGTGTGCCTCCTGTTAAACATGGACGAGTACAGAGCTCAATACAGAATAACACACTTTTGTTGCTGAGGAAAAGCCAAATGGCACAATTTAAAACAAGTACAAGATGTGCATAGTTTAATGCTACGGAACAATGGAACCATTTCCAAAAATGGTGAACATATAAATGGCCGTTTGTTTATAATGGAACATTAGGTTCTTGGCAAAGCAGTGCATCTTTTAGACATACACTCCTGATCATCATTTCAAGACCTTTGGTACGGTCTGATATACTGAAACAGTGTTCTGAATACAAAAAGAAGAAATGGGAATTTTACTGAAGGACGGGCAGTACATGCGTATGTATTCAGATTTAGGATTTTCAAACAATTGGACATTTCATCATTTTGTAATGCAAAATTCCTTGTTATTGAGGTTTTAACTTTAATGAGAATGTAAGTTGGTAAAGTAATCTTATATATATATTAGGGCTGTCAAACGATTATTATTTTTTAGTTGATTAATCGCATAGTAATGGTGAGTTAACTCACGATTAATCGCATTTTTAACATTCTATTTCAAATCCACTCCAAATGAAGTTAAATGAGATTTTCAAATGTAATAACACATTGTTATTCATACCAAATGTACTTAAATCTGTTTCACTTGCACACAAACTTCTACACATGTGCATCTAGCTGTTTTCAAACCATTCATAGAGCAATGCTGCCATCTGCTGGCTCGATAGAAACTTGCCTCAAGCCTTACATATTTGATACAATAGACATCTGGGAACGTGAAAATAGCGGGAAACGCAATTGCCGTGGTAACACGTCAATGGCAGTTAATGCGTTAATTATTTTTTAACGCGTTAATGGAAACGGTAATTAACGTGAATTAACGCGATAATTTTGACAGCCCTAATATATATATATATATATATATATAGCGCATTTTTAAAAGTTTATGAATTTAAATATTCAAATATTTTCTAATATATCTGAATTTTTTATAATATTTTGTTATACAGTTCCTTACAGCAGTAGAACGCTCCATTAATCATAATGTACTTTCAAACTGACTCTCCTACCAATAATGACCGCTGCCTTTTGGCAACGCACTCTGTGCCTATAATTTAGGTGTATAAAATACTAAGATTACTCCAGACAGTAGTTTGCGTACTTTGTCTCAACGGGCTATACGTCACTACTTCTACGTCTCTACTTCTACGTCTCTACTTCTATGTCTCTGCAGAGAAGCTATCAGACCTTGCCACGCTCATTAAACAGTAATATCAATCAATCAACACATTTAAAAGTAAATCTTGATACACATGCACAGAGGTTTTCAGAATGATCTGTTAACTTTTCTTTGATAAAAAAAATGTTTTATTGCGATAAAAAGTGATTGCTGTAAACCCGGAAGTAACCATTAACAGTAACAGAACATTTTAGGACACATTTGCAGAGGATCTGATTATGGATTTAGGTTACGTTTATAATTGGGTCACTCACCACTGATGTTCACAATTCTTTGTTCAGTTTTCATGTAGTTCCAGAGACTTCTAGTTTTGAAGTAGCTAGCTAGCTGTTACTAGCCTGGCCATGTTGGGGACTAACTATTTTATATACAGTATATTATTTAAAAAAAGATAATGCCCATTACAGCTTTGAATATTAAAGGGCTGCAGCTATAGATATGTATTTAATATTCAAATTGTATTCGAATATCAAACTTCAAAGTCAAAGCTCCACACGGTTGATGACAGATGCGAGACGCCAAACACACTGGCACATCAAAG